CATACATACATACATACATACATACATACATACATACATACATACATACATACATACATACACTGGAATAGAATATATTTCTATTAGGATGGATGGATGGATGGATGGATGGATGGATGGATGGATGGATGGATGGATGGAGATAGATAGATAGATAGACAGACGACAGAGACGCACATTGGAATAGAATATATTCTCTTTCTGTTTGTCTCTCTATCCATACACACACACATACACACGAATAGAATATATTTTATTAGAATATTTATATTATAATATAATATTATAATTTATAAAAGCAAAATATTTGTCTAGCTAGAGTCAATAATCCAGACTCTTGCCTGTACAGCATCTATCCCCATTCTATCTCCGTAAATCTTTCCAACTTTCAGTGGGGGTGGATTAGTTTTCCCGATGGATTAGCTGCCTTTTAAGAAACACAGAAACATCTTGCCTCGGCAGGATGCATCGAAACCCAAAGAGGTATTATGCAAAGAAGAAGCGTGAGGGGGGAGGGGGGATAGGAAGAAGAAAGGCTCTCCCTCCCTTCTCTCCTTCTGCCTAAATCCAGAACAGCTGCGAAGAGCCACCGCAGCAAGCAAGCAGGCAGGCAGGCAGGCAGCGCGAGGCAGCAAGGAAGGTGCCCGTCCTGGCTTACCTGCCGCTGAAGCCGCCTCGCTCTGTTTCCAACGCGGGGATTCCGCCGCGCTGGGGAAGCCCCTGAGTAACACCCGCTCCAGCGCTCGCATGTTCCCCGTTATTCGATGCCTGGACAGGAGGGAAAGGAGGCGGGGTGGAGGAAGAGAGAGAGAGAGAGAGAAAACGCGCCCGCTTTTCCCTATGCCGGGCGAAAACCCATGTGCGGGCAACGGCTGCTGGGAGCCGCCATGCCAAGCCGCGCTATGCTCCCTGGGAGAAGGAGGCACCTCCGTAGCAACCCCGAGCGGCCACGCAGTCCTGGCGGAAGAGCGTGCGGGGCAGGCTTGTCGGCTCGGCGCCGCTTTTTGGCGGACTGCTTTTGTGCATGTTTCCTCCGAAAGAAAGGCGAGCCTGAGCTCCTCCCGGGGACCCCGGACTCCCAGGAAGCGGGACGCCTTGCCCTGGAGCAGCCTTGTCGTACCATAGTTTAGACAGCCCTGTGGTGCTGTTTCTCTTGGAAAGCGCGCCGGCACGTCCCCGACTCCTTTATATCTGCTTCTGCCTTTTTGATATATTAGTCCAGTTGATATATAGGCAGCTCCCCAGCCCTAAATAACTTTTCAAGGTATTCCGCTTGGAGTATTTGCGTCCACCCTAAAAGGAATACATTGGAGCTGCATTGAGGGCCAGCCTCTATTGTTCGTTGAGACACGATTGTTGTTCTAAAAATATAACTAAAATCAGCAGCAGTAACCTAATATTGTATATATCTGCCCCAAGGCTCTGCTACGTTGTTTTTCTAATAGGAATATGTGATGTCCAATAGTAGCAGTGACTGATAACTCGGTAACATGTCTGAATGCATAAAACTATGGGAAATGTCTTTAGTTATGGGAGAAGGGCTCCTGTAGATTTAGTTAATAAATGTATATGCCACCCATCATACTGTCCAGTGACTCTTCCTAATATTGGTGGGAAAATCCTCACAAACACACAAAACCTGAAGCAATTATAATAATGCTTAACTGAATGAAATGTGTTCCTCTTATTGGAAGAAATGTTCTTCTGGGTTCAGTTCCAAGTAGGGGAAAAGACTCTGGAAACATGGAGGCTGCTTGGAAAGATGGTTTAATGGTGGACAGGATCACCTGGCTTGAGCTTCTGAACAGAAAAGGAGGATCACATGCTTCAAGATGTTGGGTGAAGAAGAAAAAGGGGAGGGAATCAGGAAGGTCCCAGGTTTTATGCTCTCGCTGGGCTTTGAACTTGAGCTTGTATTCTGATTGGTTGTCAGACTCCCATGGGGATATGCAACTCTGTAGGATGTGTTTTGAGTCCACATTTGGTTTGAGGGCACGTTTGGTGCCCTGTGGTGAGATGGGTAAAGGGCTAATTAAGGCTAATGCCTTAATCCCATCACCCTGGAGCTGAAGGGGGGAGATCTTTGTTATGTAATAGATTGGCACAGGCCTTTAATGGCCCATTGACAAAGGTGGGGGCTATTAAGAATGAGTCTGTTTCCTGCCTAAAAACATGTTTTTCCATTTCTTATCTAGGGAAATATAATATTCTGCCTTTTCAATATTTCCCAGGATATTTCATTTTTGTAGGAGAGGGCTGGGTTTTAACTTCCTACACTCAATTCTGAATTCTTTTTCTCAAACCTCTCAGTAAGAGCCAATTTGGTCTAGTAATAAAGGCACGTGACTAGAAAGCCAGAGACCATAAGCTCCCCTTTACCCATGAAAGCCAGCTGGGTGACCTTGGGCCAGTTACTCTCTCAGCCTAACCCACCTCGCAGGGTTGTTGTGTGAGGTGAATAGAAGGAGAAAGGAGTACAGTATTTATAAAAATAATAAAGGTGGATTAAAAATAAATAATAGAATTATAACATGTAAGATTTAGCAGGGATCATTTGTTCCAATTCCTGCCCAGTGAGAAAGCATTGCTATACTATCTCTGACAGATGAGTATCCAACCTCTGTTTAAGCACCAAAGAAAAAAAGAGTCCCTCCCTTCCCTTCTTTTTCACTGTTAGAACAGATCTTACCATTCATTTTTTTCGTGAGATCCAGCCTTGTTTTTCGTGCTCTTTAAACTCATTAGTCTTGTGTTCTGGAACAACTCTGAATAATTCTACCCCATCTCCATATGACAGGCTTTTAGATTCTTCAGAAGTGATCATGTCTTCCCATGGCCTTCTGCTTTTCAGACTAAACATACCCCATGCCTTCAGCCATTCCTCATTTTTTTGTTCATTTGTTTCAGGACCCTTATTATGTTGACTGCTCTGCTATGGATATATTGTCATTTGTCAATGTCCTTTCTAAACAGAACTGGACACAATATCCTGGGTACAATCTAACATTGAATAGAGGGGAATTATAATTTCTGATCTTGATGTACTTTTGTTGATGCAATCAAAGATTTGCATTGTCAGTAGCTGCACATTATTACTGGCTCATGATCTACTAAGGCTTAAGATCGTTTTCACATGTACTTCTGTCCAGTGCCCAAATACCCTCCTGAACCTTGATAATGTTCTCCAGGGTTATTTGTTAGCATCTTCCTCTCTTTCTCTGATCTGCAAAGTTGATGATCATATTTTCTAATCCTCATCCAAATAATGTATGAATTTTGAATGGCATTCATAGAAAGAAGATTTATTTGATGCTACTCTTCATCTTGATATGAAGCTGTATGTATACTTTGGGCCCAATGCCTTTGATGGTACCATAGTGCAGCCCACTTTTTATTGTTTTCTTTACTAGGATCTTGTGGGAGATATATATCATTGAATATTTTGCTAAAAACAGGGTATGCTGTGCACTCTACTGCATTCTGATAGTTAAATAGTTCATTCTGTTATAAATGTTCAAGTTGGTTTGGCATAATTTATTTTCGATACTGGCTCTTGCCAAGTATTACATTCTTTTTTTAATGCTCAAAAATTGACTGTTTAATAATTTGCTTCACAGGTGAGTGATATTAATATTACGCTAACCAACTTGAATTACCTAGATTTGGGGATTTCTCTCTCACCCCAAATTTTTGAAACTAGAAATATTTGCTTTTTTTCCAGTCACCTGGCAATATATTTATGATTTCTCAGAGATCGCAGATGAAAGAAGTAACTGAACAAATTTTTTCATATCGTGGCTGATTAAATTAAATTTCTTACGATTTATTGCTATTTTCTATCTTGGATATACAATTTGAAATCAATTATAAAGAGAAATGTAATCAGTCTGCTTGGCTGCTAGGCATTCATGAACCAGTTTACTAATATAGATGGCAGGTCTACTCTTGGAAGCTGAGGGGAAACAGGGAGGGGGTCTTGAAGATGCAGAAAAGCAGCTACTGGTGATGAGAAATGAGGAAAACAGAACTGTCTATATCAGTGTTTCTCAACCTTGGCAACTTGAAGATGTCCGGACTTCAACTCCCAGAATTCCCCAGCCGCTGGCTGGGGAATTCTGGGAGTTGAAGTCCGGACATCTTCAAGTTGCCAAGATTGAGAAACACTGGTCTATATGCACCATGGGGCCTATTCTGTAATTCCAAACCTTCTCCATTGTTTTCAGCATTGAGCCCTATTCAAATCCTGTCTGATCTGTTTCTGCAGTTGTATATACATCTTGGGGATTTTTTTCCCCTCAGGCAGGAAAATTCAGCCAGCCCTGAACAGGAATTGATATTTGGAAATGCTATAACATTCCATCTCCTGTCTTTGGAGACAGCATGAAAGAGCATGATTATTCCCTCCCCCCCCCACACACTCTTTTTCCATTACCAAAGGAAGGTCTCACAGGGACAAAGGAATCAGAGCATCTGTTACATGTGGCCAGAGGAAACATTATTGTTGTGAGAACTATGGCACTGGAGATTAGAAACTACCTTAAAGCTCTACAGCTTGAGCCAACTGAAATCAATTAATTTAAATCAGATGAACTCAGCATTGAAATTTGACTTTTATCTATGTAGCAATTTTAGCACAAAAACAGAACTTTCCGATACAGAGGCATCTGCAACATCCAATGTTTTCATCAAACTGATAAAAGCCGTGTTGGGCCATCAAGACACAAGCTCCACCACTTTTGGTACCTACGTCATGGCTGTGGTAGAATGTAGTCCAGATTTCAAGAGGGAGGAAGTGCATTCCAGAGGGGCAAAAGACAGTGAAATCATGTGAGAGAAAGAGAATCAAGACTGCTCCTCCCTAGAAGCTTCCTCAAAATTTAATCAGCACCTTGAATTATACGTAGAAGCCAACTGCCAAGCAATGCAGTCCTGAAGCAGCCAGGTTATTCTGTTATACTGGGATACTCCTATCATTGCAAGGCCACTGAATTCTGTAGCAGCCACAGCTTCAATATGTTCCTCAAGGCAGCAACATATAGAGTACAAAAATCCAATTAGGAGTAATGTGTAATTGTTAGCAGTGACCAAAAGTTGTAAGTGTGCAAAAGCCACTTCATTATATTTATACTTACTCATCAAGGAGGAACTTTGAGTCTGGGTATGCCCCTAAAGTGTTAACCATTCACGAATGAGGGAATAGACCTCCATTTAGAATCCAAAATGGTATTTCTATGGAGATGTTTGGCCCACAAACACAAAGCCATTCTGTCTTGGAAGGTTTGTCTGAATCTGTCCTTCCCCATCTAGATGTTGACCATTTCCTGGCACTGGACCAGCATTTCTACCACATCATCAAGTTTGACATGGGATCAATACTACTGAACCCTGTACTGATGAATGACCTCCCATAGCAGTTTCATGTATTTATTAAGAAGTGGAGATAGGACAGATGTCTGAAGCATTTCACAAAGTAAAAATCTCCAGGTGGTTCCTCATTCCCATCACCAACTGAAGCTGTCCCTTCAGGAAACAGAAGAACCTGCAAGACAATACCTATCCCCACCAACTAAATCCCTAGAAGCTTGATATTGCAAGTCACTGAAAAGTCAAGGAAAATAGGAAGAGTTGCAGTCTCCCAATCCATTGATCATATGCAAATGCAATTAATGCCTTTTCTATGCGATACCCTGTCTTGAAACCTGACAACTATGGCTTCAAATAATCTACTTTATTTCTGGAGTAGGAGAACCACGTGTCCCCTCTACAACCTTTCTTAGAAAATAAAGATCTAAAAGTATCCAAAAATCAAGGAAAGCTTCTTGAATGGGAAGCATGACACCACCTTTTTTATGACAGAGAGAAACACACTCTTG